GCCAGCGGAGATCTTGAGCACACAAAAACGCAGTTTCTAAACTCTAGGTTTCTTGAAGATTGAGAATATTAAAACAAGTGAGATACACAGCCTGTGGTATCCATCGGCCAGCAAGCATTGGTCTTGCCCTTGCCCAAGGGTTCATGGCCGGCCACCAGGCTCCTCCAGGGTTCCATCCCATGTCCTTCTGCAGAGAAGGACAGCAAGGATGGTGGGGGGGTAGACAAACCCAGGGAGCCTTCTCCAAGCAGGGGACTTTGGAGCCGAGAACGGGGTGTTGCACAGGAACCAACCAGGTGGTCAGAGGGAAGGTGAAGAATGTTCTGGAAGGAGGGACAGAAGGCGCAAAGGCCAGTGAGCTCCAGAGAGACTGGTGCTTTCTGGGAGTGAGGCATGCGAATGAACAGCCTTGAATCAGTCTTTGTAAGACCTTCCCAAGTGAATTTAAATGCCCATCAACCCAGATGGTTAAGTCAATTGTGAGTCCATTCACATAGCGAATACAATGCAGCCTTTGGTAAAGAATGAGTTCTCCTCGTTTGAAAATGGACTTTCCCTAAGATACCTGAGAAGTCATTTCCAGGAATAGGGCTTACCGCGTGCCAGGCGCTGTTTGAAGCATTTGATGAATATTAACTCATGATCCTTACACCAACCTCATTTGAGAAAGAGAAAGGAGAAACCTGCAATGTAGGTTACTTGCTCAAAGAGTCACTCAGCCAGTAGGTGGAGGGAGCAGGATCTGAACTTGGGACCTGGATGCAACATCTGTGCTCGACCATTTTCCCTCCTTCCCTCAGAAAGCATAGTTTGCTTCCGCAGGGGAGGCAAAACTTTACCTCTTCGTATCTTAGTTTTCCGCTGGGACTCCAACAAAACTTAGACTAACAAGAGAAAAACCTTGTATTAATTCAAGCAGCACACATTACTGGGAGGCACCTAATGAAAAGTCACCTAAAATGGCAGCTTAGAATTCCAGCTTAGATAGCATCTTCAACAAGGAGCAATAAAGTTGCAGTAAAATGACAAGACAAAGGGAAATGGCTTAAGGCTCCCGAGGGCAGAAGACTGTGGAAAGGTAAATATGTGGGAGGGAAAGGATGGAGGAAGGTTTGTTTGCAAATTCCTCCTGTGTCTTCTCTAGATTTATGTCTGTCTCCAGTAAAAGGAGAATTTATACCCTGCCTTTAGGCAGAAAAGAGGGAGCTTTTTTTTCTGGACTTGCTGCTTCTTAACTGCCTTCAGCTCAAAATAATTTTTAAGTCAAAGAGGCATATTTTGGGATGACATATTCTGGTTTCCTTCCCTTCCACCCATGTAAAATAAAATGGTTAGAAATATGTACTTGATTATATCTACACGGCTGCCCCCCGCCCCCCTACTCTGGAAAGATATACCAAACAGCAATTGTGGGTGTGGGGAGATGGGACACCTGGGTCACTGAGAGATGGCGTGGGAGGGGGACTTATTCTACACTGCCTTTTCTTTGCTTTTTGCTTTAGAATTTTGTACCATGCAGGGTTTTTTTGACGGCGGGTGGGGGGGTGGGCGCGCAAGTGAGTGAGGGGTGGAGAGAGAGACAGGGAAGTGGGGCTCACCCAGAGCTCGTGTTTTACCCGAATCAAGGCTCATGTTCACCCCAATGTGGGACTCGAAATCCCAAACTGTGTGGGGTGCCTGGGTGGCTTGGTCGGTTAAGTGTCCTACTTTGGCTCAGGTCATCATCTCACGGTTCGTGAGTTCACCCCGAGTCCGGCTCTATGCTGACAGCTTGGAACCTGGAGCCTGAGTCGGAGTCTGTCTCCCTCTCTCTCTGCCCTTCCCCTGCTCGTGCTCTCTCTCTCTCAAAAGTAAACATTAAAAAAAAAAGAAAAAAGAAATCACAAACTGTGAGATCATGACCTGAGCCAAAGTCAGATACTTAACGACTGAGCCACCCAGGCGCCCTGACCCAGGCACTTTTAATGCCTATTAATGATCCCGCTGGCGGGGGGAAGAGAATAGATCGGTAACACAGATGCTCTGTATGGGAATGCAACTTGTTAGGACCACCTTGGAAAATGAATTTTCCGAGATGTAAACCCAAGAGAAATGAATGCATATATTCCCTCCCCGCCCCCCCCAAAAAAAGGCATTTCAATAGCCTCAAACTGGAAACAACCGAAGTTCCCGTGAATGGCAGGATATACAAATCGATGTTGTATAGTGACACTGCACCGCCAATGGACAGGTGGCTACCATACAGATACATACTGATGAATTTCATGAATGTGAGTTCATCCAAATCATCCAGACACAAAAGAACACATACCACATGATTTCATCGCTGTGAAATGAATCTGTGGTATCAGAAGTCAGGGCCCTCAGGAGAGCGGAAAGGAGCAAATTTGGAAGGGCTCAGTGGGGCTTCTCAGGGGCTGGTTGAATTGGGTGATGGTTTCTCAAGTGGGTTCCGTCTGAGAAAATTCATCGGGATCATTCTTTCAATTTTGAATTCTCTATATGTATGTTACCCGGGAATAAAAGGCTTCCAGGATGAAAACGTAGCCTGGAGGCGTTTGCAACTGTCAGGGTGAGAGATGAGAGTGCCGGGTGGGGCCTGGAGTGTGGACAGTGGGGTGGAGAGAGGGGGCTGAGGAGAGGGGTGGCGAGGGAGCCCCAGAAGCCAGGGGGGCGCCTAGCTTCTGGCCTGCCGCTTGTGGTGCTGCCAGACAAATGCTGGGAACAGGCACCAGCCTGCGGGTGTGTGAGGAGCTCAGTGGCTGCAGTGCCTGCGGGATGTCATTCCAAAACATGGTTGGCTGTGTCTGGGCTCAGAAGAAAGATCTAGAGTCTCTGATTTTACAAAGTCCAACTTGGAGCTCCTTCCAGGAGGAATCTTACTCCTGGGGGTTGGAAAACAGCCTTGGGGCGCCTGGGGGGGCTCAGTAGGTTAAGCATCCCTGGACTTTGGCTCAGGTCATTATCTCACGGTCCGTGAGTTCGAGCCCCACATCAGGCTGATAACCCAGAGCCTGCTTGGGATTCTCTCTCTCCCTCTCTCTTTGCCCCTCCATCATTTGCTCTCTATCTCTCTCAAAAAAAAAAAAAAAAAAAAAAAAATTTAAAGAAAAGAAAAAACCCAGCCTTGTCCCTCTAAGCTTTATCCCTGAGGCCCTGAGGGGCTTGATGGAATCTGGTAGGTTTAGCTGGTTGGGGTCTGAGGGGACACAGTTCCTGCCATTCTCAGTAGCCAGGGCTCTGGGGCCCGATGCTCAGGAGGGTCAGTGAATGAGAAGGAGTGGAATAGATGTTCCCCAAGGCCTGGGCCTAACAGGGAGACAGTGAGAGGCTGAGTTAACAGTAACTCAGCTGGCCACTGCCAAGTGCTTCCAGTGAGGGTCTGTACCGTGCTTGGGGCAAACAAGGAAACTGAAGTTTCACAAAGAAGCCTAATGTAGTCTTACCACCTACAGAGCCTCAAACATGCCCCCTTCTTAGAGCGGGTCAGAGGGTCCCATAACAAGGTGTCTGTTTCCCAGGGGTCACAAGATACAGTGCGCCTAACCACATGCCAGAGGGCCCGCCCACCTTCTTGTCCACCATGTCCATGGTCTTCTACCACCTGCTCCCTTAGCCTCCGCTCCCCCCTCCTGCCCCTCCGCATGCACCTCTGCAGTCTCTACCACCACCGCCAGCAGCTCTGGCTCCCACACCTCTCCCCTACCCTCCACCTTCTCCTCCTCCCTCCACCTGCCTTCCAAACTCAATGCCCACACTACACCGGAGAATTTTTTTTAAAAAAGGAAGGATCATAACAGTAATTTTTTTCTGATTACACCCGATCATCTGAAACATCGAAAACAACAAGACTTACTGAGTCCAAAATCCACCGTCACCACCCAAGATAACATCATTTAATGTCGATCCTTCCTGACTTCTTCACTGCGATGACAGTTCAAAACAATCAGGGAGTGCTCACTTCCTGCCAAACACAATTCCGAGCACTTCAGAGGAAAATTTTCCACGAGAGAATTATAATTGTGGCTCTCAAAACCACCTTACAAAATGTGTGCCATTTTTTCTCCATTTTACAGGGGAAGAAACTGAGGCACAGAGGGTAAGATGAGTTCCCCCTCCTCCCCACACTGGGCTCCTTGCTGTTCCTCAGGCATCACTGGCATGCTCCCGCCTCACAGCTTTTGCATGTGCTTTTCTCTCTGCCTGGAACACACTTCCAGATCTTTACAAGTCCAACCCCNCCTGGGTGGCTTAGTCGGTTAAGCGTCCGACTTTCGCTTAGGTCATGATCTCGCGGTTCGAGGGTTCGAGCCCCGCGTCAGGCTCTGTGCTGACAGCTTGGAGCCCGGAGCCTGCTTTCCCCCCCCCCCCCCCCCACACACACACACTATATATGTAGGTCTCTGATCAAATGCCACCTCCTGGAAGGAGGCCTTCTCTCTCTCTCCCTCTCTCTCTGCACCTCCCCGATGCATGCATGCTCTCTCTCAAAATAAGCTTTTTCAAAAAAGTTTTAAAAAATGAAGTAATTTAATAGTAACTGTTCAGTAATTATTAGCACTTATTATTATGGTTATGATTATCATCATTAGGCTCCGTAGGGAGGTAGAAGTGGTCACTATTTCTGCCTTCAAGGAGCTGGTAGATGGGTTAGGAAGTCAAGAGTGACACATAGCAGATGACCGCAAGGCACCAAAGTTTCCCAGAGCAGGCAGAGAGATCAACAGGGGCAGAGAACACATGAAAGAGAAAGGGTGTCTTGGGCCAGGACACAAAGACAGGTTGGGATTTGGAGAGATGGGAGTTGGGGAGAGAAGGCCCTCCACACTGGCCTCTCTGCACAGAGGTACGGAGGCGGGACTGAGCACAAGGGCCTAAGAGAGCTTCTCCCTCCTTGTTCCCCTCAGAGAGAGTGCACATCGTGGCTGGGCACCCTCTGCTGCCTCTCTTGCTTGGTGCCAGTTCTGGGGGTGAAGGAACAGCCCCGTAAGGGCGCTGGTATGGCAGTGAACGGGTTTAAGAGGCTGGGAGTGGCCTCATGCCCGGGGGACTGGAAGTATGAGACTGTGGGGACACCCAGACAAAGAAGAGATGTCACCAGAACTCCTAGGTGAGACTCAGTCCTACTCTGAACTTGGCTGAACCCCAGAAGGGTGCCAGAGCGGAGGCCCGCCTGCCCAGAGTCATTTGGCCCTGGTGTGGATGGAGCAGCCGAGGTGTGACCATTGTTTTTCTCCTGCCTTTCTGCTCTGTCAAGGTCACCAACACCTCCCCACCGCCAAAGTCCATTGGCCACTGCTTTGGCCCCTTGTCTTCCTGGCAGCTTCCATACAGCCTCCACCTCAGGGCTTCCAGAGGCCCTGCTCTCACATCTGCTTCTCCCAGCCTCCTTTGCAGGATCGTTGCTTGATAGGTTGGTTGGTTGGTTTTGAGCACTTTCTTACTTCCTATCACTACAAGATGCTCCAGGCTCATCTGGTACATTTCCTATCCCAGTCCTAGAATCGGGTATTTCTTCCAGGAGCCCTGGTTCCTTTTATTGGAGAATGGTATTAGAAAACCAAGATTTGAGTGCTAACTGTGCTTCTTGCTCTTTGCATGCCTTTCGTTGAGGCCCTGACAGCCAACAGAGCAAAGAAATATATGTATGTATACTAATCTGTAATATACACACAGCCATAAATATTTCTGCACGTAACCATCTGTATCTATATTAAATTTAACATAGTTCTTACTAACAGCTCTTTTTACTGCTCTTCTTTATAACGTCGACTTCAGTGCTGAGATTATCTATTTTTTCCCCTTCATTTCAAGGCAATTCCTAATTGATTGCTGAAGCATTTTTATGATGCCTGGGTGGCTCAGTCCGTTGAGCCTCCGATTTTGCCTCAGGTCACGATCTCACGGCTTATGAGCTCAAGCCCTGCTTCGGGCTCTGTGCTGACAGCTCGGAGCCTGGAGCCTGCTTTGATTCCATGTTTCCTCTCTCTGCCCCTTCCCTGCTGGTGCTCTGTCTCTCTTTCTCAGAAGTAAATCGACATTAGAAAAAAAAAATTTTTTTTAAATGAGGGCTGCTTTCAGACTTTCTCGGATAATTCTAACATCAGATTCATCTCCGTACTAGAGTCAGTGGGTTGTTTTTCTCATTCAAGTTGAGATTTTCTGGGATCCTATTAGGATGGGTGATTTCCAGGCAGATCCTTGTCATTTTGTCTATTATGTTTGGAGATGCCGGGTCCTATTCAAACCCTTTATTTTAGCAGGCGGGCACCCTGTTCAGGCTTACCGTGCAGGGACTATTTCAGTGAGCTGTGGTTCCAATGACAGCTTAGTTTTCAGAGTCTTCGCTGTATTATTTTGGTCCCTGTGTTTTCTCTGGTATTACTGGGTCTTTGGGGGCTAGAAGGGGTTTCCCCAGGCCTGGCTGTCCCGTGTCTCTTGGTAGGGAGGGAAGTGTCGGCCCTGCTGTGGTTGCTTATTCGGGCCAGGCCCTTCCTGCCTGTTGCACCTGCTCACCCCCCGTGTCTCCCTGGGGGAACGGGGAGTGCCCCTCCTGCGGGCTTACTGTTAGCAGTGCTGGGCTCATCATGGCTGATACCGGCAGGGAGGCTCCCTTCAACCCAGGGCAGCCTGCCTGAGCCAGACGGACGTGGCACATGGCCGGTTCTGTGCGGTAGACTAGTTTCCTAAAGCCCTGGTGGCCAATTACCAAAAACTTGGTGACTGAAAACAAACAGACATTTATTCTCTCTGTTCTGGGGGCCCGAAGTCCAAAATCAGTGTCGCTGGGGCAAAGCAAGGTGTCAACAGGGCCACGCTCCTTCTGGGGGCTCCGGGGGAGAAACTGTTCCTGGACTCTTCCAGCTTCTGGAGCCAGCTGTTTCTCTTCGGTTTGTGGTTGCATCTCGCTGGGCGTTAATGCCAGCACCTTCAAATTTGTCAGCTCTGGGGTCACATCACCTTCTTTTCTTTGGAGGGTGGGGATGGGAAAGGAAGAGAGAGAGAGAGCATGAGCAGGGGAGGGTCAGAGAGAGGGAGACACAGAATCTGAAACAGGCTCCAGGCTCTGAGCTAGCTGTCAGCACAGAGCCCGACGCGGGGCTCAAACCCACGAACCGCGAGATCATGACCTGAGCCAAGTCAGACGCTTAACCAACTGAGCCACCCAGGCGCCCCTTGAAACTAATTTCAAACTTAGAAGAAATTTGCAAAATTTGTATATAAAGACTTCCCATTATAACCTTCACTCGCATTCCCCAAGTGTTAACATTTGCATTTGCTTTATCCTCTCTGTCTCTGGAAAGAGATATTTTTATTTTATGTTCTTAAGTTTATTTATTTATTTATTTTGAGAGCGAGTGAGAGAGAGAGAGAGACAGAGAGAGAGAGAGACAGAGAGAGAATCCCAAGCAGGTTCTGTGCTGACAGCGGGGTTTGATCAAACCACAAACCATGAGATCATGACTGAGCCAAAATCAAGAGTCAGGTGCTTAACCAACTGAGCCACCCAGGTGATCCTGGAAAGAGATGTTTTTAAAATCAAAGAGGACTAAGGGACGCCTAGGTGGCTCAATTGGTTAAGTATCTGACTTCAGCTCAGGTCATGATCTCATAGTTTGTGGGTTCGAGCCCTGCATTGAGCTCTGTGCTGATCGCTCGGAGCCTGGAGCCTGCTTTGGATTCTGTGTCTCATTCTCTCTCTGCCCCTCCCCCACTTGTGCTCTGTCTCTGTCTCTCAAAAATAAATAAATGTAAAAAAGTTTTTTTGAAAAATCAAAGAAGACTGGATCTGGCTCGGGAAGACAGCTTGTTTCTCCCATGAATGCAGTTATAAAACCTGGACAAAATACATGGAGTAGCTATGTAAGAACTTGGAGAAATTAATAGCAGATGGATGGAGGACCCAGACTAGCATCTGAAGTACCACCACGCTAGCCATGGGTTTACCGTTGCCCCCCCCCCCCCCCCCCCCCCCCCCCCCCCCCCCCCCCGTATTGCCCAGCCTGGACTCAATGCAGCTTACGGCATGGAAGTGCACACCAGGGCAGACAAAGAAAGCTCTAGAGCCCCATGCATTCTGACTAAATCAGGAAAAGGTCTCCTAATGCTTAGAGTAGGGGAAACTCTCTCAGATTTTTTTTTCTTTGTTCCATTCACTTGCACCTCGGCCCCCCAAGAAATCCAACGGAGAGGGTGGGAGCAATAATGACAGTCTCCACCTGCAGGGACCGAAAACTCCAAGACATGGGGACGTCGTGCTCCATTCACAGGGGCTCTGGTCCCGAGTGGGTAGGGCAAACACCTGTTGCTTTTTCTTTCCCTTTGTCCACTCATTGCTTTGTTCCTAAAACAGGTGCCATCATGGGGGGTGGCTGACATAACGGTAAATAAGGTCCCAGATTTCTGATGGGAGAACTGAAAAGAGGAGCTCCAGCAAACCAAAAATATCAATCACAGAGAGGGAAGAGCTCAGGAAAGCAACCTAAAACATTGCTTATAAACCTCTGCACCCTTCCCCCTGCTTCATATTTATGTGAATTAAACATAAAACGGTTCACACAGACTTTGAGAATTTACTATAGGATTGACAACCGCCCAGGTCCTAGACACTAGCAGTGTGCACGCAAGACAGATTCAAAGGGCATGGGAAAGGCTTTGAAAATACAAATGACCTTGAAGTCATAAGCCACAGAAGGCTGGTTGGAACTCTCAGCCCGAGTCCGATCTGGTCCCTCGCCTGCCAGGACAAAATAGCAATGTTCTCCATAGGAGTTTTAAAAAGGTCTAATGATATTTGGAATGTCCAGATATATTCCAAAGTGACTTGACATATGAGGAAACATGAAAATCTCCACTCACATGGGAGAAGACGATCAACAGCTGTCAGTGCTGAGATGACACAGCTGCTGGAATTAGCTGACAGTCTTTAAAGCAGCTACTATAAAAATGCTCCAGCAAATAAGGGCAAACCATCTAGAAACAAATGGATAGAGAGACATTTTAAGCAAACATGGGTGCCTGGGTTAAGCATCTGACTCTTGATCTCAGCTCAGGTCTTGATCTGTGATCTTGATCAGGTCATGAGTTCAAGCCCTGCATTGGGCTCCATGCTGGGTATGGAACCTATAAGAAGGAAAGGAAGGAAAGAAGGAAGGAAGGAAGGGAGGGAGGAAGGGAGGGGAGAAGGACGGAGGGAGGAAGGGAAGAACTTTGAGCAAATAAATAGAACATACAAAGAACAAAATGAAAATCTTAGAAAAATAAAATAAGCAAAAGCTTAACACTTTTTTGGATGGGGACCTAGCAGAATGGGGATGGCGGAGAAATAAGTCAGTGACCTTGAAGGCAGAAAGTATCCAGTCTGAACAACAGACAGAAAGAAGGGAAGCAAATGAACAGAACTTCAGGAATGGTGGGACAATTGCAAAAGAGTGAATGTTTGGGTCATCAGAATCTGGGAAGAACAGGAGAAACAGTGATGCAGAAAAAATATGTGAAAAAATAATGGCTGAAAACTTCCCGTGTGTGGTTGAAAGATATGAACACACACGTTCAAGAAGCTGAATGAAACAGAAACAGGACGAACCCAAATAAAGCCCCATTTTTCAGATTTCGGAGCTGCTAGGAAGGAACCACTTTTGGCATCACCAGGGATGCTTATAACTTGGGACTCAGAGACATCCTGTGTCCTTTATAAACCATGAAAATAACACATAGAGAGAGTAAAAGTAAATTCCATCAGTTCAGAATGATATTAAACGAAAAGCCTAGTCTTCTGCCTTTCTGCCAGTTCCACCTCTTAGAGTCTCTCCCTATTTCTGTTGTAAGTTCTTCTAGTTGCTAAAGTTTGATTTTAAAAGATTTGAACACTTTAACATTATTACTAATGAGTAGCTAGGCTTAAGCTAACCAATTAAGTCTTATAAGAAAATAAATCATGGGCGCCTGGGTTGCTCAGTCGGTTAAGTGTCCGACTCTTGATCTTGGCTCAGATCATGATCTCATGGTCCATGGGTTCAAGCCCCTCATTGTGCTCTGTGCTTGGGATTCTCTCTCTCCGTCTCTCTCTGCCCCTCCATTGCTCACCCTCTCTCTGTCTCTCAAAATAAATAAATAAACTTTTTAAAAACGTCTTAAAAATGTTTAATAAGTGTCCCTTGTGTCACATAGCACATCCCAGTCATGGGGGCTAATTCATCTCAGGTCTGGACTACATGTCACCACTGATAGCTGAAATGGTAGTCACATGTTTCCAGTCCCCAAAGCAGCAAGGAAGTCTTATATCTGTGGATTGACACAGGTGGATGGGATGGGCACTGCTCAAAGACAAGTCTATGTTTTGAATTGATGCCCCGTCCAGAGCCACAAGAGAACCACCAGGTCACAGAATGAAAGTGACGGAAGCCCCAGGCTGCGGGGGCTTCGAGGAAGGCTGGACCAGGAACTCCACATTCTGACTTTCTCTAGGTGGTGGTGGAGGTGTCGGGGTGGGTTGGGAGGCAGTCCTGGCCACTCCTGAGCTCTCCCTTTTTAGTTTTGTTTCTTAATATGCATTCTTTCCTTCTTCTATAGGCAGAGAACCCCTATTTTGAGTTGGGCACAGGGACACCCAGAAGGAAGGCTATATTTCCCAGCTTCCTGTGTGGCTCAATTTGGCCACACAACCAGGCAGTAGCCAGTGAGGTGTGAGGGGAAGAGATGCGTGCAACTTCTAGGTCATGCACTTAAAGAGAGGGGATATGCCCTCACATTCCACCTCCTCCCCCCCTCCCACTTTCCACTGGTTGGGATGCAAACCAGCTTGGGTCGTGCATAGGAGAGGAGGGTCACAGGGATGGAGAGGCACAAACAAGGATCATGGGCCCCTGGCCAGCCAGTGAAGCAGAGCCACCCAACATGCCTCTGTATCGTTATAAGAGACAGCAACTTTTGTCTCATTTCAGCCTCTGTTAATTGGTTTCTGTTACAGCCCGTGTCCTAAATAACACAAAAATTGCCAAAGCAGTCACAAGCTCCCTGAGATTCCAGGGAAGGGGATGTAGATGATGAGAAGAGTGTCAAGGACTTTGACATTTAAAGTGTCTCAGGAGCACGGTGCTGGGGTGGCTCAGTCGGTTAAGCATCTAAGTCTTGATTTCGGCTCAGGTCATGATCTCTCGGTTTGTGGGTTCAAGCCCTGCATTGGGCTCCACGCTTAAAGCATGGAGCCTGCTTGGGATTCTCACTCTCTCCTTCTCTCTACCCATCCCGTGCTCGCTCTCTCTCTCTCTCTCTCAAAAATAAATAAAATCAACTTCTGAAATTTTTTAAAGAATCTCAGGAGCACCTGAAGAAAGACCCAAAGAAGGATTATCCACATCTGCCTCTGGGGCTACAATGCCTCTGCCTATTTTTTCTACTCCAACTTCTACACCCACCTGGCCAACTCCTTCAGACCTTGGCTAAACCTGGCTATCTCAGGAAAGCATTCCACACACCCCAGACTAAGTAAGGCATCTCTGTTATACATGCCTCAGAGCATAAGCCATGTTTCCTCACTCACAGCACTGACAGCTTTGAAACTTTGTAATTCTCTCAGTGGTAATCTGATGGTCTCGCCTTCACCAGACTGTAAGGGCTGCGAGGTCCGGGGCTGAATCTAGGTCCTTCACTGTTGTTTCCCCAGCACCTAGCACAGTGATTGGCATATAGTAGACGCTCAGTTAGAACATAAGTACATAAGAAATGAATGAATGAGTGAATGAATGAATGAATGAGTGAGTGAATGAATGGCTCCCGACCTGACAGCACAGGCTTCATGCAGGGCAGTGTAAATACCGACTCCTCTTCCAACGAAGAAAAGCACAGCTCAGAATCTTGAACCATTTGTGGATCGCCAACGTGAACGCACCAACGCGCTGACCTCCCACAACCATCCTTTCCACGCCAAGTGGGCACTGCGAAGTGTGAACCTGCCCCGAGTCACCCAGCCGGTGACCGGCCGACCCTGAAGCATGACTCCCCGTTTCCCAGACGCGGAAACTTGGGGAAAGACGAGCGCACCCGGCCGCCGGGAGCACGAGAAAGGAAGGGTGGGGGACGCAGGACGCCGGGGCAGACGGCCGCATCCGGAGGCCGCGGGGCTGGCGGGTTTCCGGTCCCCCGGCCCGCGGCCCGGGCTACGGGGACGTGCGCGCCGTGTGGGGCGCGCACGCAGGGCGGGGCGTGCGGGGGCGCGCGCGTGCGCAGGCCAGGCGCCCAGGGCCAAGGCAGAGCCGCGGAGCTGCCGCCAGTCCGCCGTGGGTCCACGCCGCCAGACGCGCCGCCCGCCAGCCCAGCGTCCCCAGCCGCCGCCGCCGCCGCCGCCGCCATGGGAGTGCAGGTGGAGACCATCTCCCCCGGAGACGGTGAGTAGGCGCGCTCGGCGGGCCTTGAGTGCCCCCTCCGCCGCGCGCATCCGCTCACCGCGCCCGTCTGTCTGTCTGTCTCCCCAGGGCGCACCTTCCCGAAGCGCGGCCAGACCTGCGTGGTGCACTACACGGGTGAGTCGGCCGGTCCGCGGGGTGGGGGAGGGGGGCCCGGCCCGGGGCGGCCTATAGCCGCGGCCTGGGGGCAAAGGCCCGGGGCGTGGTGGCGGCGGCGGCGGGGCCCGCGTGGCCCGAGGCGGAGGCCTGGGCGGTGGCAGCGCCCCCGAGGGGGCGGCCTCGCGCCTGCCGAACCCGGGACCGGGTGAGCCGGCGCATTCGGGCTTCCAGAGCAATCCTGTGCCCACTGCACAGATGGGGAAACTGAGGTTTGGGGAGGCGAAGTCGCCGGCGCAAGGTCACATGGTACGGAACGGGCAGAGCCCTGGCCCGGGACCATCAGAAAGGATTTGTACCGTGTCTGTGTCCCGGGAGACACCCAGCCTCCCCTTCCGGCCCTCCCTTGGATGGAGATAAGAAGGGCGAGGTAATTTCCAGTCTGCGCAGCGGCCTCTTCCAAAGTCGGGATTCATCCCGGTTCCTAAGGCACTACTTTTGCCCAGCCCGGCCTTGGACGAGCTAGATCTGCACGGTCTTTTTCCAGTCCTTACTTTTGAGCTACTTTGAAATCCCAGCCTCCGTAGCCGCGACGGCCTGGGCCGACCGAACGTGTAATTTAGCACCTCACCCCCTGCCCCAACCCTTCTAGGAGTAGAGGTGTTCTCATCCCCATTTTAAAGTTAAGGAAACTGAGGTCCAGTTAGGGTAACAAACAGTAATGGAAGCCAAAGGAGATTGTAGACCTTCAGCCAGAATTTCTTCAGAGTCCGTGCCTTGAGACCATCTTTTACTCCATGCCCTTACAAGGTCCTCCCTGGTTGTATTGGGGAGGGGGTGGAGCAGGCGGGGACTGGCTGCGGGCCGGAGGTGGTGGGGGGCGGTGATTGGCGGAGCTGCGTTGTAGATATGAATAACCTTCCCTCCTGGGTCCATCGTCCATCTTCCCCTTTCTCTCCCTTCCCACCCTTTCCTCTGTTCCTCCTCCCCCTTCCTCTGTTTCTTCTCCTTCCCTCCCTTTGCTTCTTTCTCCTCCTCCTCCTGGGTAGTACAGCTCTGGGCAGCTATGACCAAACTGCTCAGGCATCAGCTTTACCCTTCGCTCCCAGATTATGGAGGGAGAGCCTCTGTTAAGGGAAAGGACTTTCATTGGGAAGGAAGAAGAGGCCCCTCACATCCCCTTTCCCATGCCCTTTTACTTATTTGGCTGTTTTGTTTCTCTGGCCTTTCCCCATGGGCAGAAATGGGGGCAGGGGGTGGAGAGAGGTAAGAACTAGAACCTTTTCTTTTTTTTTTTTTTTTTAAATTTTTTTTTTTTAATGTTTTTTTTATTTATTTCTAGGAGAGAGAGAGACAGTGTGAGCAGGGGAGGGTCAGAGAGAGAGGGAGTCACAGACCGAAACAGGCTCCAGGCTCTGAGCTGGCAGTCAGCACAGAGCCCGACGCGGGGCTCGAACCCACGAACCGCGAGATCATGACCTAAGCGAAAGTCGGACGCTTAACCGACTAAGCCACCCAGGCGCCCCAGAACTAGAACCTTTTCAAAGGCTACCAGAGGAGGAGGTGTTGAAACCCATCTTCGTAGGGAACTTTCTCGTGCCTGTGAAACGAAGCTGGAAAGCAGGTTTGACATTTTTAAATGGCTGTCTCTGTAGGCCACGGTCAGCACCCGAGCCTAGGAGCTGTATTGGAGGAAAGCTTGTCTGTCTGGCTGCTTTTGATCGGTGGGATGGGAAGAGTAAGCATTGCCTTTGGCCCTGCTGGGGTGAGTGGGCAGGTCATTCGTTCCCCAGCCAACTGGGGCAGGCGCTGGGACTCAGAGTGAAGGGGTGACTTGTCCCATCTCCACTTTGTAAGTGAGCCACCCAGGATAATTGTCGAGATCCGCCTCACTCCCGCGTCTGCTGCCCATCATCCTCGGCGGACCCGTCTTTCAGCGCTGACGGCGGGATTGGAGCCACAGCATGTGGGCAGAACTGTGTTTCACGGTGCCTTTTGGTGAAATGTCCCCACACAGCATGTCTGGAGCCTTTCCTAAGAGAACAGATGGACGTGGGACCCAGAACGCCATCAGGGCTCCCAGTGCCTCCTCTCCCAGTCTGTGTTTTCCTTGAGGGTGGCACCCACCCACACATTCCCCGAACACCCGCAGGACCCGGGCATGCATCAGGACAAAAGCTCTCTTTTTTTATTTCATTTTTGATAAGCGCTACAAAGATGCCTTAGTGAGAAGCCAGCTCTGCCTCTTGCTCACAGAATAGGCCCTTCATGGGCTGGCGGCTTTGTTCCCGCGGGTCTTTGCCACCAGCCTCCCAGGAAGAACCTGTTTGAGGCCTGTGGGGGCGTGAGAGGAATGGGTAGGCGCTTTGAGATTTCATCTGTAGTCGTGAAGGCTTTCAAGCCCGTGGGGACAGAACTCATCTTGATGGAACACAACGGGGGCAGGGAGAGGACCTGAGGGGCTTCAAAGGCAAGGAGCTCACTGAGGCTCAAGAAGGGAGAAGGAATTCTCATCATACCCCCGTTTTCCTCTACCCGGCTGCCTCGCTATTCCCTCGTCAAATTCCTTTTTCTCTCTGCTGCTCCCCAGCGGTGGGTGTCGGAAGAGCCCCGTGTGCCCAGCCTCCCACCCCACCCTGTGCCCAGTTTCTCCGTCTCCTTTTGAGTATCCAGCTCCCATCATCTGACTGTGTGATTCCTGTGATTACGGTTCCTAGGAAGGAGACTGACTGACCGAGGTTCGGTCAGGCAGGCACTTCTGACCCAGCCTGCTGTGGCCCGGTACCCACTGCTACCGACCGGGGGCAGGTCCAGAGAAACCGCAGTGGAAGTAAGCTAGCCCAGGCCCCCTCTCAGCCACCAGACAGATGCGTAGCCCAGGCTGACTTTTACCCCGTGGACATTTTAGGTGCTGCGGTGGCTGCCCGTCGTAGCCTTGATGCCGCTCTCAAGGCTCCCTCGGGTGCCTTCTGCGGCCTCTAGCAGAGTACAGCGAGCGCCTGGCTTCAAAGAAAGGCCTGCGTCACCTCTCTGTGGTGCCAGAAGGACAATGAAAACTTTGCTGTCACCAGCCCGGCGCCTCCTAGACAGGCACGGAGGTGGGAGGAGGAAGGGGGTGGAAGGGTAACTTGCCAGCTCTGTGCCTTGAAGGATCGAGTGGCTCCTCACAGCTCCCCCCTTGCCTCCAGTAGCTTTGTCATCTGTATTATTGAGCCTGTCCTGCCGCATAGCCAGGCTTGTGTCCCTTTCACCTGTGTCAGCAGGCCACATGCCTGCCTTTGTCAGAGCAGCCTCGAGTGGATAGAAGGAATTCTGGTTTGATCCTCTTAAAAAGTAGCTGACATCACGTCCTTGGGGGTGGGTGGAAGGTGTCGGCAGCCTGGCTTCTACATGAGGAGGACCGAGGATCCTTCAGCCCTGTCTCCGGAGGTCCATCAGGAGGGCAGCTGAGGTGGCCGCTGTCCTCCAGTCCCCTCTCTGGCCCCTTGCTTTCCCTTAACCTCTGTCTCCCCTCCCCTCTCCTCTCCTCTCTGCTTTATTCCATCCCCCTCCCACCTCTGCCGAGTGTTTCTCAGCTGATCTGATGGAGGAAGGCTCACCCCCAGCAGAGGCCCCCCCAGACGCGCCCCCCACTCCGTGCTGACTTCAGCCAGAGAGGCTGTAGCTGTGCGGGCAGGGCTGCAATGGGCCCCTTTTTCCTTCCCGGGGCAGGTGGGTATTGAGTGAGTCTTGCAGGCAGAAGGCCTGAGGCTGGGCTCGCTGGTGTGGTGGCGGAGCAGCAAGGAGACCCGTGTGGCTGGACTGGATGGCGTGAGGGAAAGCTGTAGGAGGCGGGGGTGATGGCGGGTCCTTGCGGGTTGGGGACTGTCGCTCTGAGTGAGGTGGCGGCCCAAAGAGATTGTGAGCTGCCTTGGATTTTAATAGGCCCGCTCCCTTCTGGCTTCTGGGTGGACGTTGAACTTTGGAGGGCAGGGACAGGAATGGGGTTCCAGTTGTATCCTGGGGGTGTGGTGTGCCAGCCTGGGCAGGTGGGGAGCGGAGGTGCCAGGTGGACAGTGATCCCCAAAGGGGAAGTGGCTCCTTGGCTAGGTTTCAGGTCTTACCCCTGCTGTGTAACATGTCGTGAGAGCTCAGCAAAGTTGTCCCAGCCTCCGTGGCCATCTGGAAAATGGGAGTAAAAACACCTGCTGGGAGCAGCGACCCTGATGCTGTTACTACATGTACTTTTATTAAGGCTGCCCGTATCCCAGTCACTGGGTGATGGCCCCCCACCCCCGCCCTTCGTCCCGCCAGCACTGCCCATGATGTCTCAAGTGGGAGAAAGGCAGAGCCCCGGTGCCAGCACTCAGTTCCCAGGGTGGCCCGAACTCCCACGCAGGGCAGGGTTGGCTCTGAGACCTCAGCCTCTTTTCCTCTGTGGATAGGGAAGTAGGCACTGAGAGAGATGGGGCTGATTGAGGCTTCAAGTTCAAACAGGCCTGACCTTGAGGCACCCGGGGGGCGCAGCCAGTTAAGCCACCAACTCTTGATCTCGGCTTGGGTCATGGTCTCAGGGTTCAGGAGCTCAAGCCCCGCATCGGGCTCTGCGTGGATGTTATAGAGCCTGCTTGGGATTCTCTCTCCCCTTCTCTCTGACCCTCCCCCTCTTGTGCTCTCTTTCTCAAAATAAACTTTAAAAAAATTTTTTTTTTTTTTTTTTTTAACAAAACAGGCCTACCCTTGCCTGCAGAATAGAATGTGTTGGCTAAGAAAGTTGCAGCTGATGTACCAAATGTGGGTACCGAGGGGGACTGACGGTGTGTGTTTTCCTTTCCTGTGTCTTGCCGGGCACGAGAGGAGCAGGATGGGCTGTACCAGCGTGGCCGTGGCCGTGGCTGTGGCCATCCAGGTGTTGGCCCTTTTTTTAATGGAAGCGTAGCTGACACACGATCCCTCACTGGCTTCAGGCGTACCACCCCGTGGTGGGTCCGCGCGGTCCGCTGTGCTCGCCACCAGCGTAGCTGCTGTCCGAGGGTGTCCGT